TCAACTGATGATAAAGTTGCAAGTGGGTAAGAAAACACCCCTGTAAAGAAGCCTCTTCCGTCCCTGGGCTGGTGCTGCCTAGCTGGGGTGGCAGAGGAAGCTGTGTCTCTGTCCCAGACAGCTGGGTCAGGCGAGCCACCGTGGCCTCACGTCTCCTCCGTGGGACGGAGGTCCATGCGGTTCAAGTCCGCAGCGTGAGTTTGCCCCCCTCACCACGGGGGCAGCGAGGACCCCGGCCCCAGCCCAGGTCCAGCCCCACAGCCTGCGGCCCGAGACGATGCTTCGACACTTGGACAGTACTGGCTTCCATCTGAATAATGACAAGTCGTCACCCTGCTTTTACTGATCCTAGGAAAAAAATTCTGTTTTCAATACACATACACACACACACACGCATGCGCACACATGCGCACACACACGCACGCGCACACATGCGCACACACACGCACACACACACACACGCACGCACACACCCCCTCCGCCCCCCCCCGCCATGCCCTGTGCAGTGTCATGCCAGATCCCAGATCCCAGCTCCCTCCAGCAGCTCTGGCCAGGCTCACATCCTGCCCCCAAGAACATCTTGCAATCCTCTGAAAATTCCACAGGTCTAGAGCAAGCTCGGCGGGGCGCCGCGGTGTTTTCCAGGACCTGGTGTTCTACAGCCCAAGCGCCGGCAGTCCTTTCTGGTTACAGAACAAAACGTACAGAAAAGCTGAGGATCACATCACTAATGTGTTAACATGCTAAGTGCCAATTCCCGAAGGAGGCCACTGAGCCTCAATCAGCTGCTCACTGTGGCCCAGAACAAAGGACTCCCCAGGGGGATGGAGAGGAGGCTGGTTCACACTCAGAGCGCCTGGCCCCGTGCCCAGGAAAACACGCCAACCGCCCCACCACCAAACAGCACGGGAACGAGGCTGACCTCCAGATCAGCATTGGCCACCTGTGGCCTCCTCTGATGCCCACAAGGGTCCTGTGCAGACGACCAGAGCATGCCCAGAGCGGCAGAACAGCCTGCTCCACGCCCAGAGCCTCTAAGACTCACGGGGAACCTGGCCCGGGGCACAGGCACTGGGAAGATGCAGCAGTTCTCTGCTTCCTAAGCCAGTGGAGACCTCGAGGGAGCCAGCAGAGCTGCCGAAGCACCCCGCTGGGGTGGGGGCGGGGACTCAAGCTGCCTGTCCACACAGGAGGCCCTGCACAGTTTCTCTAAGGGCCTCCCCGCCGCCCACAGCAGACACTTCCAATCACCCTCTAGCCCCTCCTAACACAGGTGCAAGTGTCCTGCAGTGCTCTCGGGGGCGGAAGGCACCTAGCTGGTATCAACCCAACAGAGGAAGACTCAATGCCAGGGCTGAGGGAAGTGGAAGACTCATTGTCCAGGATGCCTCGCCCACCGCTGTCTCTGCCCTCTGTGCCTGCCCCCATCCTCAGCTGGCTTCTCTTCTCCACAGCCCTGACAAGGTGCTTCAACTTCTCCCTAATAATCACTTTTCTCGTGTCTCCACGGGAGGTGATGGCACCCCCAGGTCATGGGTCACTGAGTGGATTATGTACATGAAGATGGGTTGTCTCAGATCATAGCCAATAGTCAGCACTTAAAAGAGACAGCGCATGGAGCTGGGAAATTGGCGCAGTGGTAGAGCACTTGCCTCGCATGCATGAGGCCCTGGGTTCGATTCCTCAGCACCACATAAGCAGAAAAAAGCTGGAAGTGGCTCTGTGGCTCAAGTGATAGCTCATTTTGAGCTGAAGAGCTGAGGGACAGTGCTCAGGCCCAGAGTTCAAGCCCCACGACCAACAGAAATAAAAGTGACAACCCAGCATGGTTGTGCATACCTGTAATCCAATTCCAGCATTCAAAGGATGGTGAGTTTCAAGGCCATCCTGGACTACAGGGCGAGACCCTGCCAAAAATAATTTTTTGAAAATGACAGCTGGCCTTGTTTCTGATGTCCTTCCCAGACTGTGGGCAGGACGAGGCTGCACAGTCACCTGTGCAGATCCCAGGACGCGCTTGCTGTGTGAGCAGGGCTCTGGTGTCCACTCTGCCCGTCCACACACCTGCACTCAGGGTAAGAAGCACCCCACGCCTCTGCCATCAAAGCTAACCTGACCTCATGTGGTACCCAGGCCAAGCACGAGACACTGCCAGGGAGGCAGCGGACACTTCAGAACAAGAACATCAGCAGGAATATACCAAGAAACTGGAAATGGAAAAACAGGATGCCGTGAAAACACCACATGTACTTTGGGATGAAGTGATGGCCCGTTGGCATGGCAACTGGAAGCTGAATTATTCAGCAGGAGACAGAGTAAGAAGCCCAGGGAGGAGGCCGGGCCCAGACAAAGGGACCCCAGAGAACACACACCCAGACTCCAGGAGGCAGCCTCTGGCCTCCCAGGAGGTCGAGTCTTAATGGCTGCTTTCTCTGTGTCTAATTCTGGGGCTGTTTTTCAGGTTTTCAACACAGTGATAAATGTCCAGGGACCAGCCATTATATTCTAGTCCAACGTATCAACCCATCACTGGTTCCAGACACAGAGGGTACACCAGGCCCAGGGCCTGAGACTTTGGTGCCGTGATGTTTGCTAATCTGGGCTCTGCTTTTTGATGCTGTGAATTTTGGTGATCAGGGCTCTGCAGGAACTCCACAGCCCCTCTCCCTGAAACCAACCCAGCCACTGCCCTGTCCCCAGCACCGACCCAGCCACTGCCCTGTCCCCAGCACCGACCCAGCCACAGCCCTGTCCCCAGCCCACGGCGGGCACATTGTGACATAATTGAGTCAGGAACTCTTGCATCAATTTCCATTACCGTATAAGTCAATTCCCTTCCGATTCAATGTGATAGAGAACTTGGTTTGATTATTAAACAGACAAGCATTTTCCATGCACACAGTTGGAGGTAGGCATGGACACTGTGATGCACAATCTTCTAACCGCTTGCTAATGATGATCAAACAGGATACCATGCGTATAAGCAGACTTATCCTGTGGAACATTTCCTGGTTTATCAATAAAGTTTTACTAACACAATGCTTTGTGCACTCATTTGCGCATCTGTCGCTTCTTTAGGGGTCTGATGGCCAGACTGAACAGGGGTGACAGAGAAAGTATGGCCGCCCTGGACATTCACTTCCTTCTGCGTGACCCAGGGTTTTGTACCTCTCGCGATCTCACACCTGGCTCCCCACAGAAAGAGTATGTGTCTGCTTCTGACACAGTGATGACCAGACACCCCTAAAACTCAAAGCTTCCCCTCACCAAAGAAGAGCACGCACACACAAAAGAGGGTCCTCCTGGCAGCTTCTCTGCGTTAAGAGGTGGTGCAGCAGCGCTCCTCGGTACACACCGTACCCTGAACTTAGGAATCTCGTTTCCGGGTTCGGGATGTGCCATGGGACACCATGCAAATCCCGGTCACGGTCCTGAGGGAGAACCGTGCGCTCCTCCACCACACGGTGCCGAGAGGCCGCGGCGCCAGGCCAGGCGCACGCAGGCTCGTCTGCTCCCTGTCATCTCCTGAGGTGGTCAGGGCGTGGGGGCGCCTGTGGGAGCCTCAGCAGTTGCCTGGCTGAGGCTGGCGCTCCTGAGCCCGGCCAACGGCCAGCAGCGCAGCTCTGGAGTGAGCAATCATACCCCAGGCAAAGCTCTGGATGGAGCAATGCATGCTGGTAAAGCGTGGGATGGAGCAATGCATGCTGGGAAAGCACTTGACACCACCCCTCCACCTGGATGACTGCCCTGTGAGCCCAGGGCCGGCCGTTCCCCAGACCCCCCACCTGGATGACCGCCCTGTGAGCCCAGGGCCGGCCGTTCCCCAGACCCCCCACCTGGATGACCGCCCTGTGAGCCCAGGGCCAGCTGTACCCACCCTGCCACCAAGGCTGCAGGAGGTGAGTGCCATGCTCACTGCAGCGGGCAGCTAGCCGTGTCCCCGTTCTCCAGGAAGGACACTGGCTCAGAACTCAGAACACCTGGTGCCATGCACAGGTCTGCCTCTGAGCTTCACGCTCTCACATCCTCGGCCCTTACATCACATAAGCCATGTGGCTCCTCCTCCCTCCCACTCCCCCCACCCCCCTCCCCGCCCCGCCACCACTGCCTGCTCAGACTGTCCACAGATGGGGACTGGGATGCAGAGCAAGCACCATGGGCCGTGGACGCCAGGAGCTCTGGACACACACAGCAAAACCAGGACGCACCAACCCGTCAACCGGGACCGCTCTAGTCCTGTCCCCACTGGCAGAGACCCCGCCTGGGCCCAGGGTGGATCCCAAGGGACCACAGCACCAAGACCTCGGGCCTCCCTGCTGTGACCCTCAAAGGACCCACAGGAGGAACTAGCACTCACTCGTGGCTCTAGATGACTTGGTACATATCCTGCCCCAGTGTGTGTGTGGGGGGGGAACAGAGAGAGATGGAGAGACAGAGAAGAAGAAGGAGAAGGAAAGAGAAGAACAAGAAGAGGAGGAGAATAAAAGGAGGAGGAGGAGGAGGAGAGAGAGAGAGAAAGAGAAAGTGAGTGAGTGAGAAGGGAGGGAGGGGGTGTCAAGTTTTTCCTGAAAAACTTCACAGGACCACGCACTGCTGGAGCCATTAACCATGATGCAGGTTAAGGGGGACCGTCCCTGGCCTGAGCCCTGGCCAGTGTGGCCTTGGCCACCTGCAACCCTTACTTCTTCAGCGTGGATTCTGGCACCTGCAGAGCAGAGTCTGTGGGGAGAGTGATCGGGCCCAGGGGGCATTCCTAATGTCTGAGACAGTTTGGATCATCATGGGAAATACACATTTTGGGGCTGGGGAGCAGCTTGGTTCCCACCACGGAAGTCTGAGCCAACATTGGCATCAAGAGCAGCTTCTGGGAGCTCTGGTCCAGCTTGGGGCCAACCACACGGCCTGGCACAGCTGCAACTGGTGTCTGGCATGGCCAGGCGAGGCCGGGTGCCCAGCCTGACATGGGCTGGATCAGCTGGATCAGCGGAGCGCCCACTTACTTGGAGAGCTTCATTTCGATCTGCTGCCGGATCTCCTGCCTCTCCTCGTCCGTCCTCCGCGGGAAGATGTTCCGCTCCTCCAGCTCCTGTTTGCTGGGCCGGTTCCTCAGCTTCACGGCCAACAGCTCCTTCTTGCACTTCCTCGGCAGCGTTCCTGAGAGACCCCAGGGAAGAGGAGACGGGTCAGCACAGCCACGGGCAGGAGAGAGGAGGGAGGGGAGTGCCGGGCCATGCCCCCGGCGGCTGGCCGGACGGGTTTACTGACGGTATGAAATAACACTGGTGCTCTGTGCTCTGTCCTCCCGGTCACAGCGCAGCCCACCTCCTCCCGCATGGCCGGCCCCCTCCTTGAGGCCCAGGGTGGCGGGGCCAGAGCCTCCGCTGCCCTCATGCCGCTGGCTTCACTTTTTCCTTCAACTGACATCTTCCCGCTCTGCTCGCCTGCACAGTCTGCTCTCCCTGCACCCTGGAGAGGCACAGACCCGGGTCCTCTTTAGACTTCTGGGCTAAACAAGAAACACGTGTGTCTGGAAGGTGGGAGGCCCTGGAATGGCTTATTGGTGTTATTTTGAAATGAAAAACAGCTACCTGGCCTGCCCAGGAACGAGCTCCTCAGGGAACACCACTGGGTGGGCAGGAGACCCGGACAGCTCTGGGTCTGAGGGCTGGGGTTTGATTTTGGACTTTTCATGGCCCCCAAATCAGTGGATTGAAATGAGAGCATGGGAAGGCTCTTGGGCACTGGAATGAGCTTAATGGAGCCAGGTGAGGTGGCTTGAGCCTGTAATTCAAACTACTTGGACAGCAAGGACTGGGGGATCTTGATTCAAGGCCTGGTCAGGCATAAAGAAGTGTGAGAGACTCCATCTCAACCAGTGGCTGGGTGTGTGTGGTGGTGTGCACCTGCTATCCCAGCCCCGAGGGAAGCACCATGGCATGAGCCTATCCTCGCTACTGACCCGGAGGAGCTGTTAGACCAGGCATGGAGTAAGACCTTCCTCGGAACTTAACCAATGAAAAAAGGGGCTGGAGGGATGGCTGTGGATGCTAGGGCATCTGCCCAGCAAGCACAAGGCCCTGGGTTCAAGGTTCACTATCACCTGAAAAGAACAGGAGAGCAAAATCCAAAGCAGGATGAGCGCGGTCTGCGCACACAGGCAGAGGGGGTCCTCAGACCCTCGCCCCGAGAGGCAGCGCTGCTGGCCTGTGACCCAGCCTGTCCGGAGGAGCCCAAGGCAGCGCGGGCCAGACTCATGCGTCACGTCGGTGATGGCTTTGCTCTGGGGGACTCTGTAGTTTGACTTGGGCAGAAATCTGAGTCCCAAGACACCGTCCAATGCCATTGCTTCCACACACAGACAAAAATGGCTCCCCAAGGAGACCAAGTCCAACCCCCTGGGGATACAAACAAGGAAAATAGCCCCCACAGCGGGACGTATGAGAGAAATGCGTGATGCAACATACAAAAGTGGGATTCAGCTGAGGCTTAAGTTTCTAATGTGAACCTGTTGTATTCCTTAGAGAGAGAGAGAGAGAGAAATAATGGCTGCAAATCACTAGAGCAAGCACTCCGGCCTACATCTGCTATAACAGCTTCATAAATGCCAGCACTCCTGTACTTATCAAATCATAAAGATCCCGGAGGCGGCCCGTGCATTTCGCAGGGTGTTTACGAGGGCAGTGGAAAGCCGTGGTGACATCCACACATTTAGGAAGTCTCCAAGGTCTCAGGTCAAGTTCCTCATCACTGCGGAGGGCTAGCATGTGGCAGAGGGAGAGGGAATGGCATTTTCTGAGAAGCCTCGTGTGCTCAAGCATAAACTATACTGAGTGTGGTTTCATCTTTCAGTGTGTGATTAAGCAAGTGCTTAAACCTACCGCAAATGTCTGAGGATTGTCATTACACACTGCCAATCACACTCATTTTGAACTGAAAAAAAGAGCTTTTTGTTGGGAGATTTCTAGGTGTGAATGAGGAATATTCTGCAGAACAAATCTGTATAGAGACAAAGGATTCTCATATGCTATTAACCCAGCCTCCAGGGCCACAGCCAGGGCACAGAGTAGGGCTGCAGGAGGAACCTCTGGGCTGTCTTCACAGGAAGTCCTTCACCAAGATAGCCACAGATTACCAAAATTTGCTACTTAGAAGTCATAAAAGGACACTTCTGGAAAACTAGCTTACAATGAAGTCACCATGGATTGGAGGGATATCTTTTTATCCAAGTTGACTAAATTAATCTGAGGAAGCATGCATCCTCAGAGTGTACTAACACCGAGCAGGAAGCAAACGCTGAGACTTCCTGTCTGTGGGCTGGAAACAAGGCCCCTCCCCGTAGTATTCCCAAATAGGCTTTATTGCTCTTCCTGTCCTTTGATTCAGAAATCCCTCTTAAAGGAGAGATTAAACTAATGTGATGAGAATGTAAAGAACACATAAAAGGATGCTATTCTAGTCGTAGTTATGAAAGAAACAAAAACCAACCCAAACGAACAATGGAAGAACACTTCGTTAAATGACTGAACATTTTTTGACCTGGATATTTGTTATCAGTTGAAAATGGGAGTGCAGCCAAGCACAGTGTTTGATAGGTAGAGGTAGCACGATCATGAGCGTGGGGCCAGTCTGAAAGTGAGCGAGATCCTGTGTGAAAAACCACCCAAAGGGCTGGGGTGAGCTCGAGTAGCAGAGCATTTGTCTGGCACACTTGAGGACCTGGGTTTAGTCCACAGTATTAAAAAAAATCACAGGAGAGCACAGAAGGTAAGGAAGGAAAACCGGAAATGATCAGTGGCCTAATTCCCAGTGGCACACACCTGTGACCACGTGTGTCACACATCTGTGACACACGTCTGCATGGTAAGCTCTGCACCTGCCCTCACAGGCCGCTACCTGAGCTCAAAGCCTGTTCACTCAATGTAGAGGAGCTGGCAGGGTGAGCGCACTGACCCTGGATGTGCATTCTGCCATATGCAGAATCACAGCGTGGGACCGCAGGAGCAAGCCCCATGCCCAAGGGCTCTCGGCCTCCAGCACCGTCTCAGTCCAAGATGGAGAAGCATGGACTCCATGTCTTTCTCTCTTCAAACAAACTCCAAGTCAGAATACATGAAACAATAGTTTCCAAGATGCAAATAGCAAGCAGAAAGAACTCTGGAAATGGGAGTCAGAGGACTAGACCAGAGAACAGCCCCGGCTGACACCTCGGAGTGCAGCTGGCCTATGGCTCGTGGAGAGGACCCGGAAGATCCTGAAAAACTCCCTGGGTTGAGGGAATGAAGCTGAGAGACCACGGAGACCGTGGGACTGGGAAGGACTGGGAAGGCCCAAAGGTCGGCAGAGAGAGCCCCAAGTCCCCGGCCCATCACCGCCTGGTGGGAGGAGCAGCTCGCAGTGCTCCACGGGGAGCGCAGGCCCAGGCCCGGACCCGCACCACCCGCGCCCCGGCCCAGGTGGGCCCCACGGGGAGGGGAGCGCAGGCCTGGGCCCGCGCCACGGCCGAGCTGGGCCGCACCACCATCCCCAAGATGCCTAGCGAGGCGCACAGATGGTCCCGCCTCACCGAGGGGAAATAATTTTAGCACTGGAGTGAACACTACTCTAGTTCTATCTAAGAAAAGCGAATAGCAAGCCAGACTGTACTTATTTAGACTACTTCCAAGTAACTGCTTCCCAGAATAAAACTCAAGGGTATTTATAGGAATAGGAAAGTATCCAAAGACCTAGAAATGAATTCACAACGTATGTCCTCCAATCAAAAATGACCACAGCTACAAGGAAGCAAAGAAAAGCTCTATGAACTAGCTTCCAGCCTGGCCAAGAGAATGGTCTGTAGGTTATCATTGTCAAAGGCAGAGGTGGTGAGAGAAAGTTCAACAGCATCCAGAGACAGGCAGACAGACATTCTGTGTGGACAGAAAGCAGAGGGGATTCCAGACACAGTGTAAGGAAGGAGATGGTGGAGATTTTCTCACACCAACGAAGGAAGAAAACCCAGACAACTAAGAACACCATGCGTGATTGAATATCCTTCAAGATGAAAGCAAAATCAATCAATCAATCATTCCTATATAATGTCCTTCGTGCAGAAGGACAGGGATGGCAGGTGGAAGCTGAATCTGAGCAGAGGAGAGATGAGCTGGGAACTGTTGGGCAGCGCATGGCATGTGAACATGTGGTCTTTATTATGATTTAACTCTCTTCAAGGAGAAGGGACTTTATCAATAACAGCAGCCACATGGTAGGATGTTCCAAGCACATGAATCAGATGGATGTCCACAATGGAAAGGAAGTAAGGCTATTAGCCCGTAACACGGCATGATTAGCGAATGTAGACAGTAAGGAAATAGAGGTATACTCTAAACTAAAGAGACCCACCACTAAAACTACCAAAATGATATCATTCAAAAAGCAAGAGGAGGTAAAATGCAGTAACAAAGTATGCCCAACCAAAAAGACAGGAAAAGAAAAAAGAATCAGGTGGAAGAAATAAACATAAGCAACCAGATGGCAGACTTAAGCCTAACCAAATCAATCAGATGCATGTAAATAGTTGGGATGCCCTAATTAAAGTCAACCATCTGCAGAATGGATGAAAAAGCAAGACAGGGGGGCTGGGAAGGTGGCTCAGTGGTAGAGCGCTTGCCTTGCACACATGAGGCCCTGGGTTCGATTCCTCAGCACCACATAAGCAAAAAGAAAAAAAGCCGGAAGTGGTGCTGTGGCTCAAGAGGTAGAGTGCTAGCCTTGAACTGAAGAGCTGAGGGACAGCGCTCAGGCCCAGAGTTCAAGCCCCACGACTGGACCTCCCCCCCCCAAAAAAAAAAGCAAGACAGGACAACATGGTGCCTGCCAAGCTTGCATTGCTAAATATAAAGGCACGTGTAGATGAACAGTAAAGAGGTACATTCTCGTATTAATCACTGAAAGCTGCAGAGATGTGCTGAGATTTCACAGCAAAGAACCTTATTAGGGACCAGAAGGGTCAGAATCATCCCATGGCAAGATGGCAGATGCTACTTCACCAAGAAGGGGGAGTAAGAGCCTAAAGAGGGGCAAACTTGGTGAAAAACGGGTGCAAGGGAACAATACATACATCTATGGCTGCCGCTGGGGACGGCCATGAATTCTCTCAAGAATTCCTAGAAGAGGTG